AGTATAAATTCCGAATTAAGTGCGACACAAATGCGACGTATGAATCCACAGTCGCATTTCTGCTACACTTAATTGAATTGAATTCGACACGGGAGAAATGCGACGTATGAACTGGGTCTAATATTAAGTGCTAATGTGACCATATTTCTGTTAAAAAGGTTTAACAGATCAGATGTGTAAAAGTGAATATATGAAAGATCATATATTTGAACTGCGGAGAAAGATACGAAGACATGATTGATACGAAGACATGATCATCGCAGTTATGCACACGACTTAAGTAAATGTAAAATTAAAGCCTGAAAAAAAAAATCAGGCTTGTACGGGACTCGAGCCTATGACCTCTGCGATACCGGTGCAGTGCTCTACCAATTGAGCCATCAAACCATAGGCGAACGTGAAATTTTTTTCAAGGAGACGGGGAAGGGGGAGGGGGCGGGAATCACTTTGCCCAAATTTCTACAAGACAATCGAGCACAAACGAGGGTCACAGGGTTCACTAACATTGGCCTGCATAACTGTATATGAATGAATTGTACATGAATCTATCATATAGATCACGTTAAAAGAAATAATTGTCTCTGCCATTGCGACGGCCGAAAATATCAATACTTGGATCCATGTCATTGTTTGGTACAGAGTTGGCATATTCCCTTTCAACGTTGGTCAGTGCGATGTTACTGACACGCTGTTGCCCCATATGCTGTTGCGAAGGCAGGCTTTCATTCTGCGCAACGCACTGAATGATCCGCGCTCTGCAGAACACAATGCAGCAGGTATCACTACTAGGATATTCACCACATTGGAATACTCTGGCAACATATCAAATAGTTCGTTTTCATGCATTGTCTGCAGTATTTCTGAGACAGTCGTGAGTGGAACCCGCGCTCACGACAAAAACTCGCTACATTTTCTGCTCGGCTTCTGCCAAAGCACAGAGTACTTCCTGGTCATTTCCACTGAACGTGACCTCAATCTCTGACAGCACCATGACGAGGGACGCCTTGGGCATTGAGAATGAAAAAATGTCTGGATTAATACAAAAATAAAGCTTTTGTTTAGTGACAATGTGAGACACGAAAAAATAAGAGGTGTTAAGAAAATGCTGACTCCCACTACTTTTGAGTATTGAGTGCCATTTTACTGTATATTGATTAATAATAAATAATAATAATACATAATATTTTAAGAGGGGGCCTCCAATCACCATAAGGTGGTTTTCAGGAGGGTCCTCTGAGAAAATAAATGTTAAACCTTTAAAATACATTAAAATCTAAAATACAATAAAAAGGACAAAAAACTATGCGGTAAGCTAACTAAGATTAAAAACTAAAACAAGAATTAAAATATTACTAACTAAGGTTATTATCTGTTTGTCTGTTTGTCTGTTATTATCTGTTTGTCTGTTTGTTAGTGGCATTGTAATTTCTTGAAACAAATGGAAACTTCTTAAAAACCAGAGGCCCAAATTTCTCTTGTTGCCCCAAAAAACTGACTTGCCCAAATTTTGGGGGAACTGCAGCTCCCCCACCCCCAGTGTCCCCGGCCCGTACGCCTATGACCATCTGGGAGCTGGTCACTTTGTGAGTGACAAAGTGACCAGCTCCCAGACGGCTTGATAGCCCAGTCGGTAGAGCACTACACCGGTATCGTAGAGGCCATGGGTTCGAATCCCGTTCGGACCTGGATTTTTTTCAGGCTTTTCTTTTACAGTTACAAGTTGTGTGTATAACTACGATGATGATCAACTATGTCTTCATAAATCAGATATGTGCTGACCTGTATAATCCAGGTGTCTAATGCTACCAGTTGTTCTTAATTGTCCTGTTAGAAAACGAAATCACACACGAAAAAATGAACTTCAGTGTGTCTTGGACTGCAGCGAAGGAAACATAAAGCAACCAAAATTAAATTGTTCGACCTCCCAGTCAAGTAGACTTCAATCGTCATGGGATACTTGAAAGAAAAGCGCATCATCGAAAGAAAGTATGTCATGGGATGTTTACCATTTACCAAAAACTTCGGAAAATTTCCGTCAGAATGTAAATGGTAAGGCAATTTTGGCTCAACCAACCGGGAAATTTTCGAAAAAGACGGCCCGTTTCAATGTCTTGACTGGGTAGTCCACAATTTCCGAGTGAAAAATCCCAGTAGAAAATGTGCTTACCACTTGCAACTCTTCACCGTCACCAGTCTTGGAATTAGGACCAGGTTGAACTTATCCTAGGTTGTTTACCATTAACACGGAGAAATCAGTTGTCAATGGTTTGTACAAATAGTAAGCAAAAACGTTTTATATGGTAAGTTCCGTTCGGATTGCATCTATAATTTACTCAAAAAACCCGAATTTACCGAAAGAGACTAGGACCTGTTAAAAATTTCAAGAAGGCGGTGAAAAATTCCAAATAGATATTTTGGTTGGTTATTTTACATTACCTTTCAAGGCGTTCCATTTATTTCGAAAAGTTTTCCTGTCAGAATGTCTTACCATTCACATTCTATAAGAAAATTCATTACCTGACGAGGGAATTCTACTGTAAATTTCACGCGAAAAACCGATAGCGCACGGATCGCGAAGCGATAATTGCGATATCGGTTTTTCAAATGAAATTTAACGTGGAATTTACCGGTCAGGTGATGAATTTTATTTAAATCGCATAGCCTTCTTTTTAATGAAAGAAAACCCCGTTTCATTTACCTCCGTGTGTTTCATTTACTCGCAGACGTGAGCGACTTCGTATATCTCTCCAGAAAGTTGTACATCAAGTCAAATGGGGAAGAAACTTGTCTTCCACTTTCAAAATGACGTGTTTGTTTTAGGCTTCGTGGACGGCGATAATGGTTTTGAAAACATGATTAAAAGGTCATTGTTTCTAATTGTTTTTGTGTTGTTGTTTTATTGTCGCTCTAGTACAATTTCACGCAAAGCCTCGCTTTAATATTCAAGAGTCGCAATTCCACGCTGAATACACCGCCTACGTAACCAATCAGGGTGCGCCGAGAATTCCCTGAGCTATGCGATTCTAACCGGAAAAAATTTCTGGGATTTTTAGGTAAATGGTGAACAACCTTGTACAAATTAGGCCTTTTCCGCATTACGCCGGAGGAATTTGAAAACGCAGCTTTATTTATACGGTTAGGCCCACCGTTCACACAAATCCTTCACGAAAACGGAGCTTTTCGAAAACGCTCTTCAAACCGGAGGAATTTGAAAACGCTGGCTTTGCGAGGAGGGAAAACATTTTAAAAACGAAAGGTTTCGAAAACGATTTATGTTGCGTTTTAAATTCCTCCGGCATAGTAGACGGAAAACATTTGATGCGCTTTAAGAGTGAAACTTCCATTTTCAAACATCCTCTGTGTCACGTTCCACAACCGAAGGAACTGGATTATTGCAATGAACGGATACGACACACACGAATCAAATCTAGAAGTCCGCCATGCTGCTTTAATAATCAACTTCCCAGCTTACATTACGTGCTTAAGTATATTATGTATGATGCACCGAAATGTATCTTACAAACACTACATCCCTTCCTTTTTCGATATAACCACTATGATTTTAGGGAAATGTCAACACAATTGAAAGTCAACTAAAAACCTAGTACGACTTAAACTCACAAAACGGCTGGCCATAAAAATTATTAATTCTCCTCTCTTGAACCGTAACAGTCAATAATGACATCAAGTCACAACAAAGTTTCTAACAATAGCACTCAAGTCAAAACAGAGTCCTTAACAATGACGCTCAGGTCATACTGACAAAGTCTTAAATCTTTCCGGCAGTTTCCTGGCCCTTGTTGGTCTCGTCATAACCGGGCTGCTCAGTTTTTCTCGTTCTGCTTCCGGTTCTACAGGATCATTAACATCAAGCAATGGAGCTGCTTCCTCAGGATTCTGTGATGCCTCCTCATACTTCTTTACATGGGTTGTGTTTCGCATAAGTTGGACGCCTTCTGGTGATTCAACCACAACACTGTTCCCAGTTTTGGTTACAACATCATAACGCTCAGAAGCAAATGGTGTTGACAACTTGTTTTTGCGCTCTTGTTTTACTAAGACTTTGTCACCTGGAGCTAGGTCTGACTCCTGGGCACTCCTCTTCT